CTTCCAGGGTCTTGGTGGGTAAGACACACAAAAGGAGCTAGGATTAAAATTAAACTTTTAGCCCACACGTAAGATGGAAACCTTTTGTGGGACTACTTTAATAGTCATTATTATTTCGAATAAATTTATTTTAAAAACTAATTTAGTTTTTTTTTAATCCTAAGATTTTGTTTTTAAGAGCATCACTCATTTTCACCATTTTCTCACCTTTCCATCTAAGCTTCTCATTCTGACTTTTAAAAAAAATCGTAGAATAAGAACATGGATGTTTTCATATGGCATGGCGGTCTACTAAAGGTTATGTCATGATATATTTTCAATGTTTTAAGACACCACAAAATTATTTGACATCTTCTCCATTCCTTTAGTTGGTGAAATGGAAAAGGCCTTGCAAAAATCTTCTACTTAAAGTAAGACCTTCCAACCAAACGAACTCTTTCTATTGTCTGCTGTAAAATTTTGCTGCGCAAACCTCCACCGATGCATCCGGGAGCCCTATCCCAGCATCGGGCTCTTGCCAAGCGAAACTCTGTTCCTTTCTAATGCATTCCAGCCTGCCCATTTAAATAAAGTTGGGTAAACTACTTGTTTTAGAGAAAATCTTGCAATTTTGAAAGCATCGCACCTTCATAAATTGAAGTCTCCTCAAAACTGAATGGACAGGGAAAACTTGTTTCAAGCTTTGGTCTACTGAAATGTAAATTCTCACCTTTTCTTCTGTTATTATTTGGGTTCAGTGGGACCTCTCCTCCCCGAACAATTTAACAACATTCATTTGGCAGAGCGCTTATCTCATCTCACCTGTTTTTGCCAAAGGAACAACTTGGTCACTGCTTTTGGTCTGGCTCCTAACCGAGCTGGCTGCAGTTTCAAGCGATGGTCTGTGGGTCCGAGTAAGGTATCCCAAATCCAAACAAGGGATGCAGACTCCGGCCTCAGTCACAACGCTTTCCAGCGAAACAGGTTCCCACGTTCAAATGCAGCCCAATCCGATTCCCCCTTACAGTATTTGGAAATGAGTTCTACAGAGAGCTGAGTTCAAAGCCAACTCAGACAGCCAAATTTAGGGAAAAAAATCCATGTTACAATCTCATGCTCACTCAGGAGTAATTATCTCCACCTTTCAGGGAGCTTGGTTCTTGGCAAATTCACTTAGCATTACAATAGCAAAGCAGTAGCATAAAGGTAGACGAATAAGCAGTTAACCATGAATTCTGTAAATTTCTGTCTTGAAGCTAGTGGATCAAATAATTGCACACACACCCCGCCCCAGCTCAGATCCTGTTCATTTACCAACTTGCACGTAGTTGCAGCTAATTTTCTCTTCCCTCACAATCTTCCTCTCTCCTCCTTTAATATTCTTTAATATTAAAGAACAGTATAGCTAAGGAAAGACAGGAGGGAGGGCCCTTTAACGCCATAACAAAACAACCTAGGTAGCTGAGTTGGTCCGAAGGAAGTAAGCAACTTCGTTATTACACAAGAAAAATATAGTGGTGTTCTTCAGTAAATAGCTAAACTATGTTTTGTCCAACATTTATTCAACATAATAAATACAATAACAAAATAAGGGCAATGGAAGAAGAGGACTGTAGCATACAACCCTGTCATTCGCAAGTTGTCAGATTACTTGGACCACAGCACAATCCTACATGCGTCTACTCAGAAGAAAGTCCCATTGCGTCCAGTAAGGGTACCTCCCGAGTGGTTAGAAATAGAGGATTAAGCTTAGATCACAATCCTAGCACGGTTACTTGGTAAGTAAGTTCCACTGAGTTCAATCAGTCTTTTTCCTACAAGTGCATGGAACTGTAGACTAAAGCTATTTAGAACCAATCCCGTACGTGCTATTCGCAAGCAAGTCTCTTTCAAAGAAAGTTTCACCCAGATAATAGTGCGGGCCCACATTTATTTCAACCAGACCTCAAACATGTTTAATCCGATGCAGTTCTCTGAACAACATTCCTCTTTAATTGGTATTTGGAGTTCCAACTTTAAGATGTTGAGGTATACAAGGTATTGTCTTTATTTGATCACTTTTATATGTGGACCCTAAACTTAAAATACCCAAATAAAATTAGTCTGCCTTAGAATAATTTGATCCCACTACACATTCCCATTAATTGTAATAGTTCCGAAACCCAAGTTTTACACAATCCTGAGAATGATTACACAGAATGAAGTTCTACTGTGACCAACGGTTTTTACTTCTAAATAGGATAGCAATCCAACTTCCTTCAGAAAGACACAGTCCAGGCAGTGACGTTTTAAAATCCACTAGTTTTAAGTGAGATGGGGAGTGCAATCCTAGGACATCTACTCAAAAGTAAACCTCACTTAATATAATGGGACTTGCTCTCAGGTGAGTATTATCTCATATACTTTTATTTAGACTTAGAACATATGACAAATGCAACCAACATTTTGGTGGCACGCACTGGCCTCTTCTAAGTTATTTCAAAGGAACCAGTTCCTGCCTTCCACACATTTGGAAGTGCATGTCATTATTCTGAACTAAAATCTTTATCCCGACTCTGAGCTCATCTGAATCAGGGTCCCACCCCTCCACCCCCAGCAGTGTGTTTCCATGGACTTCGTGTTTCCTAAGGCACGTTCCGAGGGTAAGTTTTCCTTCACTTACATCATTGAAATGAGTGGGGGCCGGACAACAACTCTGGAGTTGTTCTCTTAAGATCCTATGCTGAACGGCTTTACTTAGAAGAAAAAACTATTTAAATCAGCAACAAAAATGCTTTGTACGGTGGTAGTGATCCCATTAAGATTCGTAAACTGGAATATTAAAGGATTATAGTCTGCCCAGAAACACCTAGGAGCCAGCCTTTCACAGGAATGGAGAAAACTGATCTTTGGTGTCTCCCTTAATTGAAGCTTCCACAGGAGAATTTCTTGTCCCTGCCCTTTTTAAAGTTTAAAAATGTTAATGTATTCCTGATATTTCTATTAGTTGCATGAATTCCACCAGTTGCTTCTTGACTAAGTTATGATCAGATTCCAACCCAGACTTTACTTTATTCAATTTGCGTTCATTTCAAGTTTGTCAAAGCGATTGACAAACTTATTTCACTTTCATTTTACTTATTAAAAAGCTACATCTCGAAACAAATAGAACTGCAGGCTGCTTCTGGAAAAAAATTGTTGGTTGTTCCTGACCAAATGAGAATAATTATTATTCACAAACTGTGTGACAATTAAGACCAAATCAATCTTAGAAACGATGGATTAGGAAATAATAGCTTCATTTTTTAAAAAAATCCAAGCAGATAAACAATTAATCAATAATAAAAATATTATATAATGACTGACAATATTTTGTAAAAGCATTGCTTGGGGCCACATCAAAGATGCAACCTGGCTGCAATCTTACACATGATCGAGACTGCTTCTATCCTGCAAAGTTTAATGGAATTTTAAACAGAAAAAAAAAAAAAATGCAGTCTTCCTAACTGCCCCAAAGTAAATCTTTCTGAATTCATTTATCCTTTATAGGATGAGTATAGGATAACAGCCTAACGCTCCTCACCCTTTGAGCCTTTTGTGGTATAATACTTTATATTCATAGAACCTGTTTTTTAGGAGTGCAGTCTGAGAAAGAACTCATATGAAAGTGTTTTCCGTTTCCTCTCTCCCCTCACACACAGTTTGTATTTGGCTAATTCCATCTTTTTTCTTAATCTGTTTTCTATGCCGCCAGTTACATGATTCAAAGAACTCTACCGATTCTGCCTCCCGTCAATGTCTACCTTTTCCTTTGATTAAGAACTCCCTTAGCAATTCAGTAAATTTTTACAAACGTTAAAGTTCAAAATGATTAGAGGTAGGTACACCCTTCCGGGAAGTTTGTTCGTGCTGTTGCTCAGCTCCTTCCACAAGAGAACTTCCCGCAGCATTGTACCTTTGATAAGAAATCCACAGGCAGGTAACATTATATGTGCTAAGGATGATTTCCTCTTCATTTCATCAGCCCATTTACCTTTTATTGGAACGAATTGTAGTTTGCTTTACAGTTGACTGATGTTTGCCGGTAATACACCCAAATCCCTACTAAATAATACTTGACAATAACATCTTTTTTTTTCTTTTAAATCTGAACCCCCAGATTCAAAAAGTTTCTTTAAAAATATCATTACCGGGTACAGTGATACAAGTAGGTCTCCTCCCCTCCCTTCTCCTCTCCGCGAGTGTCGCCCCTTCTCTTTTGTGAAAATGGCGGATAGTGTTCGCCAGTCGACCTTGAGTTACAATTCAATCAGCTCTCAATCAGTAATAATGAGATTGCACTTAAGGGGTTCCCAGATAAAATTATTATTAGCATTATTTGTAGTTCGGTTTGATTCACCAGAAGTAAGATGCACTTCAGAAGGCGATTGTTGATCTTGTTTTAGTTGCCTTTCTCAGCTAGGTACGCAGGGAAGCCTGGCTCCAACCGACTTCTGGAGCTACCCTCGCCCACTTCGGGGACTGTCTCAGAGCAAGGGGGGCTTTCCCCCTCCCCTGCAGCCGCTGAGAGGGACCTATTGTACAGAGCATCTAAGAACGTTCCCCACCTCGGTTT